CTGCCATACATGTCACCTTGTCACGCAGTCTGTCATGCCAGATAAGGCAGTTCTTCACCCAGTCTGTCCTACCAGACATGTCACCTTGTCACGCAGTCTGTTATGCTAGACAAGGCAGGTTGTCACCCAGTCTGTCCTGCCAGACATGTCATCTCGTCATGCAGTTTCCATACTTAGCCATTTTGTGGCTTTGATCTTACAAGGGTGAAATCCGACCCCTACAGTCAACTGCAACAAGGCGTGCTTCAGCTAGTGCAACATGGCGTGTGTATCAGAAGAACATGAGAGTACCGGTCCATGGTACTTCGGTAGTGGGAGTTCAAGCCACATGGTGGATACAATAAACAACCTACATGACATCAAGAAGGTCAAAGGTGAAAATATTACTTATAAAGACGTAGGTCATGGAATGCTTCAGCTCAAGGATGGAGATACGAATATGTGTGGACCGGGCCACAAGGGGAAGCATGTGAATGCTCACCACATGAAAATACCGGACGTTCAATCATAGTTAGACCTCAAGGGTACAAGAATGGTGTTGGTTCAGAAGTGCAATCTAGTTCAGAGGAGAAATCTGGTTCAGAGGAGCAGTCTGGTTCAGAACAAGCAGTGGTACAGCAGATGCATCAGAATCATTCATCATCTGATCTCATCAGTGATGTTAGTGAAGGGAGGAAAAGCAAGGGGAGAATATGAATATTGATGAACATGGAGGTTAATATTGGTATACGATCAAGGGGGAGTGTGATGTTCGTCAAAGAAGTATTTGAATTCTAAAACTCAATCAACAAGGGGGAGATTGAAAGTGCATGTTGGATGAGCTTTAGAATTCAGTATGAGCATATACAAAGGAGTTGAGAAGTTGATGGTAAAGGAGGTGAAACCTGAAGATGAAGTTGTTGAAGCAGTGACCTGTACCAGTCATGAAGTACTACAGGAGGTTGTACAAACAGATTGGCTGGTCTTGAGCGACGTGGGCTTAAGGAGGTGGGCCGGACCGGATATGTGAAGCTAGCTTAGAGCCCAAGATGACACAACTAAGCTAGAGGATATACTTGGAGAGGATCCAAGCTTGAAGACCTTCCTTATCTTGTGCTAAGAATAAGGAAGGAGAATATACTCACGAAGATTTAGATCTTGCGTGGAGTAGCGACCAAGGCTAGGGTTAGCCGTGTTATCCTATTGTGTATACATAGGAGGGGTGTGAGTTTTATAGAGCTTGACCTCCACGATGTGAGAGAACTTCTAGTAAAGGTTTTGGGGGGTTCATGAAATAACAGAAAACAATGGGGCTAAGGATTTGTCTTGTAATGTTTACTATAGATCGTGTATAAATTTGTGAACGGAAAGGCTAGATTAAGGAGATTAAGTCAAACTTGTAAGTACGCTTGATGATTGATCTAGTAATATATTCTTGAGAAAAGAAAACCCCGTGTTATTTGTGTTGGTCTGTATTACATACCTGTAGTACTCCCGGTAGCAGTAGCTCTTGCACTTACACCTTCAAATATCCACAATTTGAAGACTCAAGTCGTGATGGTCTTGTCATAGACGTACTTTCTGGATGAGAATCCATTAGACACAACTTCTAACTTTCATGTCTCAGTTCCTGAACTACTTTTCCGCTCTGATACCACTTGTAAATGCAAGTGAGGCAAGATATAGTACAGAAAATAAATGACACAAGAGCATTGTTAACTAGGGTTTGTTTCCAACTAATGGGATGGAGTCCAGAAATAAAATCCATTAGAACCAAAAAGCAAATACAATTTATTCGCAAACGCGTAAATCAAGTAAAATTTCTTAATTTACCACTTTGTTCAATAACATAGATTCTTCAGTATAACCTAATCATGAGGTAAACTTCCTTTAAGCCTAAACTTGAGTTTTGTGGAAATTCCACAACACCAAAACGCACGATGGCAACAGTACACAGCCACACGAGCTATTAGCAGCACCAGCACGATCACACTACCGCACTAAAACACTTGATCAGCTCAAGCAGCATGAACTGCTATAGTAGCAGATG